ATAAGGTAGCATGTAAGGAAAACAAGTCATAAAAAAAGACAGGGGGCTCATAATGGCCCATTTAATTCAATGGCAATTAAAAGTAATTGTACTTTAACAAACATCTATTATAGAGAAGACTATAAAAGTTGCATAAATTTTTTAAAAAGACCTCAAAAAAGTCTTGAAAAGGGCTACTCTGGGTACTATTTCATCTGCCCAAGTAGATTCTGGCAGAAGGGTTGAGAGAATATTGTTTTTAGGAGACTTTCACTGAAGACATAACTATCATACTTATATCCTGAGCTTTTCTAGACAACTTTGGAGATCTGATGAATTTTATATGAAAAAAACTTTTTACAGCATAACCACTGTGACCACCACCATATATAGCAGCATTCAGTACATGCAAGAGGGGAAATAAATTCCAATAAAACATTCTGCCATGTCCCCATGAGAAACACGAGCTTAAGGGGAAAAAAAAGACTGTCTTTAAAAGAAATCAGCAACATRATGTTCACAAATACTTATCTTTTGTCTATTTACTTATTTTTGTGGATGGGGATTAAATCTACCAGCATTAACCAGGAGCTATATCTCCAGATTCTAAAATATTTATCTTTTAATCTTGGTATATTCTAAAGAGAAGAATATGTTTTGGTAGAAAAGCAACATAATGTAGAAAAAAAAGGATATCAAATTTCAAGTACACAGAGTATTTGGGGTCTTAATTTTGCACTTAACTATGTAAGTGTCTGGGATAGGCTTAGGCTACTTCATCTTCTCTGAAATGGGGAAAATAATAAGCTCAAAGTGACACTATAAAAGTGTCACGTTTCATTCATTTAGCTTCTAGGATATATCAGTTAAGAATAATGATAACAAACAAGATCTTATCAAGCATCTTCATAATTTTAACAATGATTCTCAAGAATTTTCTTCTTCACTTATGTACATATATAAATACACCACAGTGACATCATGTATAATCACAAGACTGGGATCCAAATTAGAATAAGATGTACTCCATGTCTGTGTAAATATTTCAAAATATATTCTACTGTCGTGTAACCAAAAAGAACTAATAATAATAATAATACTGATAACAGCAATTTTTAATAACAAAAAATAATTTCTTCCTTCACTGCTTATATAAAATAAGCAAGAAAACTACTGCCAATAATAAAGTTGTATACAATATCCATATTCTTTAAGTAACTTTTTATAATTTATGTCTACATTTTAAATGAGAGAAAGGGATAATACTCTATAACAACATATTAAGTGGGCCAAAAGTTATACTGAAGTTAAAATTAACAAGTGACAAATTAAAAATGAAGAGACACAATACACAAAAGTATAAAAGTCTACAATTAATAGTCTTACATTGCCAAAATCAACAGTGTTGAGAAAGTCTGAGAATAATTTGTTAGATACATGTGAGAACTGTTTGACAATTTCATGTCATCACTTGCATTACAAAGAATTGGGATCTTGCTGCAATTATATACACTCCTCTCTATACAAACAGAAGGTAGAAATGAAGTAATTAAAAAATCAAACATGATTAATTTAATATGACAAAGTATTTTCAGTTATAATAAACTCCATAGTTAAAATTCACTGACTAAATTTGATGTCATAATGTGAAGATCATTTTAAAACACTGAGTATTAGGCTTTTCCTTATTTTTAAAATGCAATTTCAAAATGACAAAAATAAAATGATAAAAGGAAACCAAACAAAACTAATGCTGCCTTTATAGGTTTAAAAATACTAAAGGGGAATGATCTTTTTATCATTTTAATATAGAACAAAAAAATCTCAAAGGCCTAAAATACTTGAGTTTGAGATACATTTGCTTGAGGAAATATTATCAATCTGGGGGAAAATACTAGACTTAAAAAAATTAAACTCAGTCAGGAGAAAGCAAATATAAAATTAGCCCACAATGAATCTTAATTTTTAAATTTTCATTAGCATAGAAATGTCTGATTTACTATTGCCTTTATTAATTATTAAAGAATCTCCTCCATATCTGTCTTATTCTTTGGAACACTGTACGTATATGCCACTATAGAATCTAAAGGTAATTATTCTGCTTTTTCTGAGTACTGCTCATGTACCTTGMACATAAATGTTATTTACTGTTATTACTAACTCAAATGATTTACATTGAATGCTATGATTTCTAACAGCTGTAATATTACTATTTGAATTATCAAATGCCTCACTTTCTTCTAAATATCAGAATCAAGTATAAAGTAGCCGACTGGAAAAAGAGAAAAAAGCATACTCTAACATACAACAGAAGCCTCTTATTCAGTGTGATCAACACTGATAATGGCATATCTTATATCCCCCCTAAAATTCACATGTTGAAGCCCTAATCCTCAATGTAACTACATTTAGAGTTGGGGGTCTTTAAGGAGGTAATTATGGCTAATAGAGTGCAGAAGGATATGGCTTTATCCAATAGAATTGGTTTCTTTGTAAGAAGAAAGGCAAGAGGGAGGACTGCCCAGAAGATAGGCCATGTGAGGGCACAGCAAAAGGGAGGACATCTGCAAGCCAGGAAGAGATGTCTCATCAGAAAACAAACTGCCAACACACTGATCTTGAACTTCCAGCTTCCAGAACTATGAAAAAATAAATCTGTAATTTAAGGCACACACATTTGCTTTGTAAATATATAAACATCTTAATTTAACTTAAAAAAGTGTATATTGATTTTTAAATCTTTTTGATATAAAGTAGGCCTATAAAGATTTCCAATTTKACTTCTATAAGATGATACTGGAACCTAAAGATTCTTTCAAAGCAATCTGGGTCCAGTGATCACTATTTTCCAACACTTTCCCAATTTGTGTTTTTTTTAGCAACTAACTTTATCCTGTCTTCTAAAGCACTCAATTTAGTTTTTATAAAAATGACAATTTTATTCTTATACTCCTATTTCACTAGTCTAACAGTATTTCACTAGATTATGTAATTACTATAACAAATCTATTTGGTATKAACAGCTCTGGGAACACAACTGGCTCTTTGTAAACAGATCATTCAGCTAGTAGGAACAAAAGCATATGGATACTGTAGAGTTGAAGCAACTCACCAGCTCAAAGCATTCAACACATTACAGGACATCAGGCAATGGGTTTTAGAGCAGTAGTGGTCAATCAACTGAGTTTAAAATGTGTAGTAAGAAAAGAGGCTCTAATGTCCAGCCAAATAAATGCTGGTATTTAAAACTGTCATTTTGAAAGACTGTCACTGTGCCAAACAATATGGAAACTACTTCTTGAATTTCTGACATACAATGTTCTAAAGGTTTAATGGTAAATCATTATCCTTGGAACATGATTTAATTTTCAAAAAAACCTACTTAATTAAACTGTCTGATATAAAATTTCAGCAGCAAAGTCCAAATTTTTAAAAATGCAATGCACTAGTATAAAGCAAAATAACTAWTTAATATGAATGTATTTCTTTAAAGGTAAACAAAAAAGATAAATTTTAAGAACATGCTAAATAATTATGACATTAATAAAATGAGTACAAAGACACCATCTCAAGTATGTCATTTGAATATAAACTTCTAGTATTTTTACTTTAAAAACTACTATCATACACACTCATTTTGATCACATTACATATATCTATATGTCTACGCATGTAGATATGTATGTGAATGTATGTACTCACAGACACACATATCAACCACTTCCATATATGTATATCTTATTTTTCTGAAAAGCCTTGATATTGAAGCCTAATTACTGAGGATAATTATGTCATACTGGAAATTGTGAACATTATTCAGTCATAAAAACAAAATATTCTGCATACAAAATATTTTGCATACAAAAAAATCACTGAAATATTTTGCATACAAAAGTGACATAATAAATGCAGCATTTTCAGAAAATTTATTTAACAGATAAGAATGAGGTGTGAAGGACAGAGATCATTTGGGAGGAGTTGGTCAGCATAAACCAAGTGTATAGAACTAAGTGTAAGGACAGTAAGTGGAAATAAGGACAGAAATAAGAAAGACTTAACAGCACTTTACAAATAATAGTTTTCACTACTATAAAAGATCCTTAAGATGTAAATTAGATGAAAATAAAGATAGAGATGGGTATGACAAATATTCAGACACCACCATCCTGCACTTCTGCTGACTCTGCCAACACAAAGCAAAGGTGGGTTCATTCATCTAGACTGTTGTCAATCCAGAGAAGTGAAGCCCCAAAAGCATCTATAGATCTAAACTAAGCTCCATTATGAGGCATTACTCATATCAATTCTGATCTGGATAGGAAATAACATGTTTTGTTCTTTCTCAAGCTTACATGAGTTGTGTGTATGAGAAATAGAAAGAGAGAAGAGGAGGATGAGGAAGAGGAGGAGGAGGAGGATGAAGAGGAAGAAAGAAGGGAGGAGGAAAGAAGGGAGGAGGAGAGAGAGGGAGGGAATAAATATAAACACTGAGCCTTAACAAATTAGGCCTTACTTTCTTCCTCACATAAACAAATATCTTCTCTTTATTATAGTCTGCAATTAAATAGGTTCTACTTTTGCAACAAGGATGTCAAATAAAGCTTGAGAATTTAGGGTCCACTTCTAATACTCTTCTATTCAATTTCTATATCCTACTCCTACTCTCTAACCCAAACCAAATGACACAAATCTCTCTCTCTCTCTCTTTTTAAGAGAGAGAGAGAGAGAATTTTTTAATATTTATTTTTCAGTTTTTCGGTGGACACAACATCTTTATTTTATTTTTATGTGGTGCGGAGGATCGAAACTAGCACCCCGCGCATGCCAGGCAAGCACGTTATCAGTTGAGCCACATCCCCAGCCCTGACACAAATCTCTTTAACTCTTCCTGAACTTAATCTCTATAATCTCTTCCTGAACTCATCAGGGAACATTTACAAATTCTWCTATGGAAAAGCAACTTTAAAAATTCTAGTTTTGATTCCTCCAAAATTTATTTTAAAAATACTCCAGCAATTTACCTCAAATTTCTTCACCTTTTCCATTGTGATCAAGCGCCTTGATGTGTGACTAGAAAGCTTCTGCTCACAGTTGCTGATGAGTTTCAGGCAAGGGTGCCAGGGTACCATCTCTTCAGTGTACCTGAAGAAAGAATAGCTAACTAGTATGAACATTCACATGTGCAATCCACACAGGATCATCATGGGGGTATAACCAGTGTGGTGAGGGAGGTCTTTCCTCTACATGAGGTACCATTTTATTCCACATATGCTAACTGTCCACAGAATCCATMAATAGCCTACCTGTATTTCAACAGCAAAGTATTTAAATATTACCACATCAAAAAAAATGCAGTTTATTTTTTTTACCCCTTGAAAAGAAAATAAGAAAAGATATAAGTACGTTTTTTAAAGAGCACCAAACATTTAAATCACAAATATGATTTCATACTAAATGATCCCACAACAGCAGGTCTTACAGAGAGATGTACATCCTACAGTCCCCAGACATTCATAACATACTGACTGGTTTGGAGACTTTTATAAATTACCAAAATATAAAGTGCACTATGGCATATACTTTCCCCTATAAAATGAAATGCACCTGCAAAATTACAATGACATCTTGAGATCTATGTTAAATTTGTAAATACTAGACTAAAGTTATTTATACAACTATTCAAATAAACTAAGCACGTAGATTATATCAGTCATCTGGTCACATTAACTAGGAAATAATACTGAAGCCATGACAATGGGTGGTGGAGACTGTGCTCTTCAATACATGTACCACATGAAAGATGCAATAGTTTGTGACCTGGTATCTCGCAGGTTGTTGGTACCAATCTTGGCAGAGGAAACAGGTGATAAATATGGAAGAAAGTTCTGAAGCAGAATGTAGAATAAAAGCAGGGAAGAAACTCACCAGGTATGAGCATCTTTAGAACACTGATTAACAGATTTTTTTTTCCTTTGCAAATCTTTACGCCTTTCTGGATAGTCTCTACACACATTTATTATACAGGTAACCTTAATGCTCTGATCCAAAATGAGAAAGGTACTGACTAAAAAACAAGATCTTAGCTAACTATTATAATATGTCAACACCGCCTTCACCATCACTCTTTCTGACTTTGCCAGATCTCTGATCTTCAACAAGCTCTCCCTTATTATTTCAACCACATGCTCAGAACCTTCACCACCCACTTACCAAGTAACATTCATACTGCAACTTCACTTTATTATCAGTAGGAGCAATTCTCTTGAAGACATTCTCTGACTCTTTCCTTAGAGCTTTACAAGAAGTTATAACCGTTTCAGTTTCACTTCATGTAAAAATTCTTTAATATTCTCTATATAGTCAGAAATGTACTTCTTATAGAAGTACTTCTTATAGAAGTACATCTCTCTGTAAGGCCTGCTGTTGTGGGATCATTTAGTATGAAATCATATAACTACAATTAAAAATGTCTTGCCAAATCTGATGAGGGAATTTTATTAGGCTTCTTAGTCATCATTTTTAATTTTTTAATTTTTAATTGAACTTGGGCAAACAGCCACAGTATCACTCAGTAGCTTAGTGACTCCTATTATCACTTCCAACACACATGAGCCAACCTTATGCCCTGTCTTAAATGAACAGAACACAGATGTTCAGGATCATTAGAAAGCAGTCAAAATTCTTAATAAACCCCAAAACACCAATAGATTATAGTGATATCATATAGTAAAGTCTCTTTGAAGGGTAAGTATCGACCACAGAGTACAGAGGAAGGATAGATTATTTCGGCTGAGAAGCAATAGAAAAGTGTCAAAGAAGGGGTGACAATAAAGCTTCATCTTGGAAGATGACTAGAATTTTACTAGCAGAGGAAAGAAAGGCCATAACAGAATAAGCTAAGATGAAAATATAAAGATATTGTGACAATGGTTAAATATCTTATATACTGGATTAGGGAGAGTCTAGACAAGAGAAAAAGTAGCAAAAGTTTGCAAGTTTTAATTTCTTTACTAGAATTAAAATCATCAAACAATGAAAAAATTCTTTATAATTAGTTTTGACAACTTTTCTAATGCAACTGAGCTTTTAGGTAGTATTTTGTTTTTATTATGTCTAACTGAATTTTCAAAATGCCCTGTTTCAATAATACCTTAACTTAATTATAATATGTACTTCTTAATTTTGAACTTGAGTCATATAACAGGATTTGATTAAGTAAGTTAATTCTACAGCAGGACTAAAAGTCTACCTTCACCATACTAGAAACAAAAAACTTCACCATACTAGAAACAAAAAACCAATCTATGCTAAGTTAAAAATTTTTGTACTTAGTCTAATAAAAAACTATATTTTCAATAGAAGATAAATAGACTAATTCTAAACTGTTTAGTTTACAGGCAAGAATATTATTTAAAACCTATAGATGACTTTGGTCTTAAATTCTTGCTACTGTGTTATTTTACAAAAAAAAGTGAAGATTTTTGGATTATATATACTACAAAAGTAAAAATGGTTCATTTTTCTAGCATAAACTCAAGATAAACTAAGTTCACTGTAAGCTAGCAATTAATAAAAATAATTTGTTGAAAAGATCCTTTAAGACTTAATGGAAGAAGAAACAATAGAGGTCTAGTACTGAACTTTAGAGGATCTAGAAATAATGCTCCAGATTCAAATAAAAGAAATAAACGCCACATGGTCTTCCCATGTGTGCTAGCCACACACCTGGAAAAAGTCTATCTATCCCTCAACATAAAATCTAAGGCAAAAAAAGAATCAATTAAAATATATCTCCTATGTTTATTTCTAAAACATTCCTTTGCTTATATGTATTTGAACATATCCTTTTGTGCAAAATTGTTAAAATTTTAGAAAAGTCACTAAAAAAATATCTAGTGTYAAACTGGTCTTCAGAAATAACATTTAAAGTACCTACAAATTTAACTTTTCTAAAGGAATAAAAGAACTTCAAAAGAAATTCTTAATCACATAAAATTTCAATTATATTTAAATAAAAAACTACAAAGAATGGACAATCAGGTATGCTAGAACATAAGGTTGTGTACAAAAACAAATGAGGAAACTTTTAAAGTACAGAAGAGCCAGCCCACAGAGATTCCCACTAGTTAAATCTGGGACAACTGGAGCAACAAAAAAAATAATAATAAGTGATAATTCAATGAATAATACAGGAATACATGACTCTATGCTACTTCAAATAAAATCAAACAAATGAGAGAGAAGGGAAGGGACAACTCTCCTTTATAGAATGCAAATGTACAAATGCAGAAAAAATGATGGAATGCAAGTCATCATTTGACAACCACCATATTTGTGGGTATAAAAAAATGGGTTTGTCAACTGAGCAGGGTCTGATAAAGTACAAGATATTTTTGTAATCTTTGGAAATTCTAACCAAAGAAAACGACCACTTTGAATTGAGACTTAATAGACAACAACATGACCAGATGGTCAAAGTTAACATCACAAGGCAGACTATATGCCCCATGATGTGCTGCACAAAGAACATTTTCTGTATTATTCCTAGTACGAAAGCATTACCTCAGTCTTTTCATAGAGGAAACATGTATCCTGCTTGAGGGTCAACCCTCAGAATATGAATCACATACTCTATAATTAAACTGCTGAAAACACAAAAAACAAAGAAAAATTGAAAAATATTCCAGACTGGAAGAGACTGAAAAGATAATGTAGAAAAATGTAGCATATTTTCCTGTATGGATTGAAATTGGTAAAATGTGAATCCATGAACATGACAAGCAACTGTTATCAATGCAGATTTTCAAACTTCTATAGCTGACRGTGGTAGCCAAAAATACTAGTTTCTAAAAAATACAATGGAGTAAGTACAGGTGATAAGACATTATGCCTGCAGCTTTACAAATGTGTCAAAAGGGACTAATGATATGGGTATGTGCAAGAATAGAAGGTAAGGGTAAACAATGGCTAATATTTTGAAAATCTGAATGAAGGTAGAGATGGGAGTTTTATATTTATATTTGATACTTTTTTGTAAGTTTGAGGTTACTTCAAAATAATTTTTTTTTAATTTTAGCTCTGCAACTTAAAATAAAAAGCAGGTGGCTTGCTTCTGCTATGGTCTCAAGAGGAAGAGCTGTGGAAAAGGAGACAGAAAACAAATATTTCAAACAGCATTTTGGCAAAAGGAAGAGGAAAACAAAAGCGGTAGCTAGAGGACCCCTATAATATGGACAGAAAAGGTGTATTTGTTGTTGTTGTTTATGTTAAACATAAACAAGGCTTTAAATATATGCATAACTTTTTTGAGACCTTTGCTTTAAAAAATATTTACTACATTTAAGGTAATCATAAGAGACAATATTTATGAAAGTTAGCATTCTTTAACACATGAATATCTCAGCTAAATTGCTGAAAATTACTATGTGTAGACTGCTAAAATAGCTACCGTATGGCTATGATACACTAGACACTGAGGTAACTATGGTGTAAAACAGGCATTGGCAACTTTTTCCTGTGAAGGGCCAGAAAATAAATCATTTCAGTTTTGTGGACTACATATATTTTGTCACATATTCATTTCTGTGCACGTTTAACAATCCTTTTTAAGTGAAAAAAACAGTCTCAGCTTAAGAACCTTACCAAAACAGACCGAGAACCATATCTGGCCCATAGGCTGTGGTCTGCCYACCCCAAATATAAAAAGGTCAAAACAATCCAATCAATAATAGGAAAGGGATTATTTTTCATATTTATGTAGGTAAACAAAGGCTATCAATACATATTAAATAAAAGATACCTTGAATAAAATTAGAGGTAAGGGGAAAATTATGTTAGATATGCAAACATTTTAAGAAAAACAAAATTAAAATTACATACTCTGGTGTATACACTGGTAACCAATAGACTAGTCTTCCACCTAATACGAGGGTCTCAGCTGCAAAGTTCAACAGGTCAAAAAACATATCGCTCAAGTGATAACTCAAGGAAACAGGAACATGGCTTTCTGGACTATACAAAGAAAACAAAATTTCAAATCAGTGAAAATTTTAAGACTACTGAAATTAACTAAAGAGAAGAAACATGCTTCTCAAAGTAATAACTCCTCATATTTAAATTTCACTTACCACTTCTCTATCCCCCTTGGTATTTCTTTCTGTGAACCTGTTCTTCTTGTAGATTCTCTGATACCATATGGAGCTAGAGAGAAAATAAGTAATAGTGAACAAATCACCAATGAAGGGCAAATAGATACAATGTGCCTCCAAATGTGACACCAGAGGATACAACATCGCCTACGCACTATTCCAACTGAGAATAACTAATATAAAAAGTTGACTGTATTTTCAAAAATGCCTATGTCATAAAAGACATAGTAAGGCCATGAAAGTATCAGRAATAAAGGAAACCACAAAGATATCATTACTAAATCCAATAACTGACTCTGGAGTGGTTCTTATACTCAAGAGAAAAAATATGCTATAAAGGATATTAATGAATCAACTAACAAAATTGGATGACAATCTGTAGATTAAAGTATTGTATCAGTATATTGAAACTGAGAACTCTTTAGCTTTTAAGACACTCCTTATTCTTAGGAAATATACACTAATGCACAGAGGTAAAGGACCACAATGTACACAACTTATTCTCAAGTTCATTAAAAAAAATTAATATACATACATAGTGGTGAAGCAAATAAATTGTTAATAAAAAGCCCAAATTTTCATAAAATATATTAACACTGACATTGTTTTTTCCTTTGTTCTTTTTAGTTATACATGACAGTAGAGTATTACGCCAACACTGTAATGCCTTGATAGTTTTTCTTTTATTAGAATTGAAGCCATCTAAGTTATTAAAAAACTAAACAGGGCTGAGATGGTTCTTGACTTTTCCACTATTTATAGATTACTGCCAAATAGTATTAAAAAGGCAGATCTAGTCTTAGATAGACAACCTAAAAATCCTAAGATTTCACAAGGCATAGAAAATAAGTTCTCATTCATATTTCTGAAACTTATTTCACAGAACCCCAAATTTATTCTAAGTCTAGAAAGGAGATACCAGTGAAAAGGACAAGACAAAACCTGAGAGGCTTGCAATATGTGACACCTGAAACTCTCTTCTCTGAGATTTGCTATAACAACTCCAAACAACATTTTAGTATGCTAACAATCAATTAATTAATTAGTCAATATAAAAACAAATGTCTCAAAAAAACAATATGCTGAAGGGAAAAACAGGTGGTAAGTTAATATATTTGATTAAAAAAACAAAACAGAAAACCCATAGTTACTTAGTTCAATTATAATCGACCTTACATTAATAATTTTCTCCTTTCCTATGTGAACAAATTGGGAGGAATACTACTTGTACAAGTTGGCATTCTGTGTCTATGATGACACATTTTGTACTTTACAGGCAAATGACTAGAACACTAATCCCACTACTACTTTTGTATAAAAATAAACTTACGGTCAGTGATAATGGCATCAAAATATGTGCCCTTCCTCCAGGAAGGTTTAGATGCATCTGAAACCAGTACATCAAGGTAATACTTCTCTAGACCATACTGACGAAGATTGGCTCTGATATTTTCATCTGGTCCTCTCCATTTCTGGTTTTTCCGACTAGCCTTTCCTTAAAGAAAAAAAAAAAGAAAGAAAGAAAGAAAAGAAAAGAAAGGTAGAAAGTATTAGATAAAACAGAACATTCTTATTTCCTGTTGTTTAGCTAAAAGTCACGTTTTAACTCATCTAAACCCACACTTAACTTACATAAAATTTGCTTTGATTTAAAACCTTCATTTTCTTTTTTTCCAGTCAAGCAACCACATATTCATACTAGCTTAACTGCTATGAGTTATGAAGAATTTTAYTTTTTAATTTATTTTTTATTTGTTCTTTTTAGATACACATGACAATAGAGTATACTTTAACATATTATAAATATAAGGACTATAACTTAGGATCCCATTCTTGTGGCTGTACATGATGTAGAGTTTCACTAGTTGTATATTCATATATGAACACAGGAAAGTTACATCCAATTCATTCTACTGTCTTTCCTATTCTTGTTTCTCCCTCTTCCCTTCATTCCCATTTGCCTAATCCAATGAACTTCTCGTCCCCACAATATACCCACCCTTATTGTGTGTTAGCATCCACATATTAGAGAGAACATGTGGCCTTTAGTATTGAGGGATTGGCTTATTTCACTAGCCACAATAGTCTCCAGTTCTATCCATTTACCAGCAAATGCCATAATTTCATCTTCTTTATGGTTGAGTAATATTCCATTGTATATATGTACCGCACTTTTTTTAATCCATACATCTGTTAAAGGGCACCTAGGTTGGCTCCATAGCTTAGCTAGCGTGGACTGAGCTGCTATAAACATTGATGTGCTATGTCACTGTAGTATGCTCATTTTAAGTCCTTGGGATATATATCGCAGAGTGGGATAACTTGGTCAAATGGTGGTCCCATTGCAAGTTTTCTGAGGAACCTCCATACTGCTTTCCAGAATGGTTACACCAATGTGTAGTCCCACCAGCAATATATGAGTGAACCTTTGCCCCACATCTTGCCAACATTTATTGTTTCTTGTATTCTTTTTTTTTTTTTTTAAGTTATTTTGTTCATTTATTTTTATGTGGTGCTGAGGATTGAACCCAGGGCCCCACACGTGCTTGGCAAGTGCTCTACTGCTGAGCCACAACCTCAGTCCCATTCCTTCTATTCTTGATACTTGCCATTCTGATTGGCGTTAGATGGAATCTCAGTGTGGTTTTAATTTGCATTTCTCTAATTTTGAGAGATGTTGAACTTTTTTTCATATATTTGTTGACTAGTCATATTTCTTCTTCTGTGAAATGCCTGTTTAGTTTCTTTGCTGGTTTATTGACTGGGTTATTTGTGGGGTTTTTTTGGTGCTAAGTTTTTTGAGTTCTTTGTATATCTTGGAGATTAATGCTCTATCCAAGGTGCAAGTGGCAAAGATTTTCTTCTATTCTGCAGATTCTATCTCACATTTTTGATTGTTCCCTTTGCTGTGAAGAAGCTTTTTAGTCTAAAATCATCCCATATATTGACTTTTGTAAAATCTTCATTTTACGTATGCAAGTAAACCATTGTCTTTACTTCAATTTGTTATTAAAAATATATTTTGAACAATAAAACACACTGATATCTAACAGAACTCCAAGTAAAACTGCCTTAAGACACTCATTAAACACTTGCCAATTATGAAGCACTTACTGGTAAAAACAGAGTTGACTAGAACATGGCCATTTCCTCCAGCAGTAAATAGTCCCACATAGAGATAGTGCTGAACAGATAAATGAAACAGAAATGAAGAAAGCTAACTTGGGAAATGCAGCAACTGTGGCCATGGAGGCTAAATGCAGACATAGCTGATGAAAAGTCAAAGTGGGAGTTGAGGGAGGGCCAAAAAAGTTCAAAAGTTTCTAGTTTAGGAGACCTAAGTGTATGGTGATCCCAGTGATTAAGATCAGAGAAACCAGAAAGTAAAACAAGCTTAAGTGGAAAGTTTGAGATACATAATCATGATATACCTGAGGTACTTACAGAACCTTCAGAAAGAGATATTCTGCTAAAAGAGATAATCAACAGGTAGCTGAAGGTCAGAACACATACATTTGGGAGATATCCATACATAAACATGTTGCATTCATGAGAATGAATGACTTTTTTTTTGTTGGCCTAGGTGCCAGTCACATTGAAGTTTGCTCTAAAATTACTCTTAAATATTTATACGTGGTTCTATGTGATCTAAAATTCACAATAAAAACAAAACATAAAAATAAAAAAGAGAACTCAGAACAACATGCAGTGTAATATGAGCAGGGGTCAAAGATAGATGCCTGGAGAGAGGYAATATGTAAACAGAGATCAAAGAAAATTGCAAGGTCTTAAGGAGACTGAGATAAAACAGTCAAAAAAAAAAAAAAAAGTCAAACCACAGAGTGAGACCACTGTCTAGGAAACCAAGGAAGGTTTGTGAGGGTCAACACTGCCAAACACTGTTAGTTTTGTGGTCTCACTAAGCATTTCTAGCAGATTTGTGGACATCGAAGCTGAAAAACAAGTGCTAAAGAAAGAGTAAGAAGAGTAAGAAATGAGGAAAAGGAGACAGCAAGCAAATACTAGTATTTCAGCAGATTTTGGCAAAAACCCCAACAGGACTGATAGGAAAGGTTTTGCACTTTTAAAGTAGGAGAAACTTGAGAATATTTTAGAATACAGTCTAAGATGAGAAGCATAAAGTTCAGAGGATATACAATAGCAGTACCTTTGATAAGATCTGAGGAAACAATATTCCTGGTAGAATGACTATCACAGAAATTTTAAAATCTTAAAAAATAAAAATTCAAATAAATTATATAAGACAATATCCTTAAAGCAGGCACAATGCTTCTACTAAAAGCAAACTGGATATTTTTTAGCATTTTGTCTATTCTAATATAATGCAGACAAAGAATATACTTTTCTGGTTAGTCCCTTTATGTAAACCATTTAAAAATAAAACTCATTTTTCTTCCTCATAAATATTACTAAATTTCTTTAGAGTCAAGGTAGGAAAAAAGACAGGACATTAGTACWATACATCAATTGCTTCAGTAAAAGAAAAGAAAGCATAATAAAGTCTCACCTATACAACGACTTATAGCAAATAGTAATAACCAAAAGGAAGAAGTGTTTTAAGAGCTGATTTAAGTTACCATAGTGAAATAYAAACATAAAGATCAATACTTTCAAAATTATGAATAAAATTTAACATTTGTAATACTATTTAGCTATAAGGAAACATTTTTTCAATTTGATTCAATTCCATCAAAATACACATCATCAGTGAAGCTTTTAAAACTTAATGCATTATTCAAAACTGCTGGATGTGGTGGCACACACCTGTAATTCTAGTGACTCAGGAGGCTGAAGCAGTTGGATTGCAAATTCAAAGCCAGCCTCTGCAACTTAGTGAGGCCTTAAACAATGTAGTGAAACCCTGTCTCAAAAAAAAGGCAAGGGGGGTGCTGAGGACATGGCTTAGTGGTTAAGTGCCCTTGGGTTCAATCCTTGGTACCAAAAAAAAAAAAAAAATTTCCAAAACTGCCCCAAAAGTAAAGCAGATTCTTATCTCAAGTTACTCTCACTTAAAGGTAGAATCTTTAAAGTTACTATCCTCTAAGTGTTTCAAAKATGCGTTGGTCAGTTATGAAAGTTAAAATTTACATGATACTTCAAAAATTAGGTATTAAATACTAATCCAGTATATACTCAATATATGATTACTGAATAAATGGATAGTTACAATCTTAAATAATATAAACTATATATATTTTCATAATATGTATTTATGGATTACAAAATCGCTATTTCCTCTTTTTCTCTCTTAAACTTCAAGCTCATGAATCTATAGTTTGCCTCCTTTTTTTTAACCTCTTTTATTACCTCTGGGGAGAGGTATTTTTCTTATTCATCTCTGTGTTCCTCCAAATCATTATGCACATACTGTTATCACTTTGTAAAAAATAGATACTCGGTGAAGTCTTACTTGTAAAAACTATAATTATATTGCAATTTTGTATTTTAAACATAAAAAGTCATAAGTCTATTTTATTATTATTTGAAAGGCACATTTGGTTCAACAACAAAGACTATGACACTGTCTGTAAGTTCTACTCACCCAAGCCATGAACTGTATTATAGTCTATGTCTGTCCCATATACATATGCACCAAAATGAGCAGATGCTATCAGGAGGCCACCTGAAAAATCACACAATTATGATCTGTTAAGCAGGAAGTCCCAGACTATGCTTTCTCTCCCTACTTAATGTGATCCAGAATTTTACAAATTAGCCACAGGCAGAGTACCCTGTAATGATACTGATCCTGTCCTATTTAGCAAGACACAGAACTGGGGTGCAGGTGGGGGAGACAATATCTTTTTTGGTCAAAATAACGAATATTTAGACATTTTTTATCTTATTTTAAGAGGTTTATACAGAAATTACTTGCTTCTTTATTTAAAATAAGTATGTACAGCTGCTTACACAAAGAGTTAAAAATACATAAGTTCTGATAATTGGATTTTAATCTCACTAAAGTCAGAGTTTCAAACAACTAAAGGAAACATAATGCATATGTGAGACATTCATTCCTACAAAATGTAATCTATATCCTAGTTTAAAATATTGTTACACCTGCAACTAATCAAGTAATTAATTAGCTCTTGGTTTAAACTATTCATTTCTAGGTAACTATTATCAAACATAAAACAATTAATACAATTATTTTTCTGTTTAGTTAAAGTTATGACCAAAGTAAGAATAAATGCCCTAATACAATTTGACAAGACTACATTTTGACAGATGTTATCAGCTCAAAAAAGAAAAATCCTAATAATGATTTTTTTTCAAGTGAAACTTTAAAAAAAGAGAGAATAATAGTATTTTGGAATCCTTGAAGAAAAAATTAAATTTTTATAATTATATTTTCATTAAGCTTCACATTTTATTCAAATTAAAATGCTTTTAGTTCTTGTTCAAGTCCTAATTAGCTATAATATAGAAAGTTCTGTCAGTCAAGCTGAAATCAGAAATATATTCTTAGACTAAAAAATATGCACAGACGTGGCAGAGAAAAAAGCTAGGGTTCTTATATCCTTTTGAAATCAATCTTTAAAATTAAGATGGGTAGTACCTCCAGAGGGTCAAGATCTACAAAGTAACAGTGTTCCTCCCATATCCATTTAAAASACAGTCTGATAACATTACTTAAAAATATTCTGCTCAGGAAAATATTATACCTGACTAATCCCTATTGGAGCCTTTGAAGAAGAGAAGTGGAAGGGATTAAAAGTACGGCAAAACCTATGGCTTCTCACACTAACTGCTGAAAGCATTTGTGTAAGAGGTAAGGCAAAAAGGAGCTCATAATTCTTAGTCTAGAAATGGAGCAGGCCATACTTAGGAAAGGTACTGTATGTGATGACCTGGAATACTCACAAAGTCACTTCACCCAAATCATGAGGAATTACTACAATTCTGCCAATTAAGGCAGATACTCACCTAGAAGAACTAGTTGTCAAGGGGAACAGAAAAGCTTTCCTGTGCTTCCTTAACAGAACCTTATCCATTTGGTTAGAATGAGTTTTGAGAAGACTCAATTTACAGTACACTGCTGAAAGGAGATGAATAATCTGTTAGACTACATCTGTTAGTTAACTCTGTGCCTTTTAAGCTTTTAGTTTTTAAAAATAAAATCATAATAAAATGGTTTCTCTGAATTGGTTACTCTTCATTCACTGCTAATCATCTAGTTCTAGTGGTTCTTTCCTTAACTTGAAGCATTTTTGCATTTAGTTATACCTTGGTTGGAATTTTCTTGGAAGCTTTTTGGTGGAAAAAGAGGCACTTAAAAAGGAGGGTGAAGTGTTGAGAATATAGGTAACATGACTCACCAACTTCTTTTTATGCTATTTGAAATAAAATTACTGCATAATTAGTCTAGAATAGCGACTTGGTGTTTTAATTTCTCATTACAATAACCACTGTAATTTCAATTTCTCAAAACAGTAGCCCCTTTAAGGTTAGGGTAATATCTTACAAGTAAAAAAATAAAATAAGTAGAATTTATTCCATGATAAAGAAACTAATTCAAGATTGGCATTTTTAGAGAGCTAAATGGAAAGCTTTGCTGGGCTTTGCTTTTGCTAAGAGAAAAAGAGAAAAGCTGGTAATACTGCATCTATTTTACCTTAAAAAAAAAACTACTTAAATAAACTTGCAAAAGAATACTGCTAAAAACAGAAATTCTACTAGACAAAAATCTATAAGACTCAGAAAAAGGGGACTACAAGAATTATGGGAAAATGGGAAATAGAGAATATTACAAAGATGTATAAAGATCCATTCTCTCACTCTCCAAACTTCTCTTTTCCTCCCCATAGTCTCCTCCCAGGACTGAAAGAGTCAGTTTCCTAACACSTAGAACCCACGCCTCTCTTTTCTAGTGACAAAATTTCTAACAGAGCTATCCTTACACCTAGCAGTCAYCTGAAGAGTAGACAAGGCCAAGGATGCTCAATCATAACTAGAAGAACTGACTCATTTGAGAAGAGAGGATGAGAAAGAATCATAGTTATGGACTCAGAGCTCTATGGTACCTTCAGCAATCAGCAGACACTTGCACCAACTATTATAATTATGAATAAAGAATTAACATTTATTATTTTTAAACCCCAATTCCTTAGCTCGCTGCAATCATTGTAAACTATAAATATTTTGAAAATTAGTCAAAGAGAAAGTGAATTCATGGTCAAGTTACTCATCATCACCATTTACTATTAGCTATATGTAACATCTTTCACCAAAAAGGCATCTAAGTTCTTTTTTTTTTTTTTTTTTTTTAAAGAGAGAGTGAGAGAGGAGAGAGAGAGAGAGAGAGAATTTTTTTTTTAATATTTATTTTTTAGTTCTCGGCAGACACAACATCTTTGTTGGTATGTGGTGCTGAGGATCGAACCCGGGCCGCACGCATGCCAGGCGAGCGCRCTACCGCTGAGCCACATCTCCAGCCCCCTAAGTTCTTAACAAAATAACAATGATAAACATTACAATTCACTCAATGTCTTCCATGTGTCAGGTTAACAACCTAAGAATATTGTATATACTTAATCATCACAATATATTACTATTATCAATTTATACAAATAATGAGCTACAACTCAGACAAGATTCTTGCTCAAAGTCATCCAGTAATTGGTAAATACATTAAAGCTCACTCTACATGCTCTTTAAAAAAAAAAAAAAAAAAATACCATACTACCTCCTTTGAGGTCAACACCAATTAGAGTAAGTATATATATTTGTTGGGAGCCGGCGACCGCACCCTGAAAATGGCGCTGGCTTCCTGCTTCTGATGACTTAGCGGTTAGAGTTGTTAGAAGTAAACAACTCCTTGTAAGGCTGTGGGCTGGGCTCTGGCCTGCTTCCGCTGCGCTGTACCTACTAGACTCCTCCACGTGGTGCTAGTTCATTGGCGAGGCTGGGTACTTAAGCTAGGGCAGACCGACCGCTCCCTATCTTGTTCCTGTTTTCTCATCATGATTCAAAGGTCCTGAGTAAACTGCTGAAAGAAGAATCCTGTGTCSTGTTTCCCTTGCTGGCGAGGGGTCGCGACATATATTGGTTTATATTACATTAACTTATTGCTATCATTTGCATGTGAAACACCCCTAAAGGCCCATATGTTAAAGTCTTGGTCCCAAGGATGGTGCTACTGAGAAGTAGTGTAACTTTTAGGAGGTGAAGCTTAGTGATTTAAAGTCCTTAAATCCTTGAGGGTGTTCTCTGGGGCTAGAACCTAGGCCCCTTCCTCTTCTGCTCCAGGCTGTGAGAAGAGCAGTTTGCTCTGCCATGTGCTCCATGCCATTACCATCCAATACTTCCACCAGAAGTCTAATAGCAATGGGTTTGTTCAATCATGGAATGAAATCTCTAAAACTATGAGCCAAAATAAATCTTTTTTCTTCATAAGTTAATTATCTCAGGTAGTTTATTATAGTGACAAAAAGCTTACTAACACACTTACCAGTTAAACAAAAGCAAAATTTATCTCTAAACAAATTAAATTACGTAAGAAAATCTGCATACTCAGTAAAAATTGCATACCATTTACAAGCCTTGTAGCATATCACAGGCAGGGCTTTGCTAATCACTCTGTTAGCTATACTCATTCATATCAGATTATATCCTAACTACTGAGAACTAACCCAGTGGCATGTGTCTTCATTTGGACAATTCTTACACAATGTAAGAAAAATTACTAAAACAAGAATTGACGTGTTTGCTAAAATAGAAAGGAAAGTATATTTCTGCAGCTTTTAATGCAATTCTAAACAACAGTAGCAAACTGTCTAAAAGAAAAAGGCATTTAGGCAGGAAAAAGATTTTTACCTTACTCTATAATCTTAAGAAAATCACAAGTTAGGAGTAGTTTTTGAAAAATCCATTTGGGAAACTATATAAATTTCAATTATGTTCCTTTAAAATAGAAAACAGATTAGGTAAACTTAACTGTATAAAAAAAAGTTAAAGAAAGGAAACCAAAGGTAGAAACATCATCAAATATTTTGTGAAAGCWAAGGCTACAGAGGAGGGCACAGAGGTATATATTATTCTAATCCTTCAGAAGGTACTACCCATCAATGAGGCAAAAGGCCCAAGAGAGAGGACAAAATGTGCTTAAGAACTCTCTGGTCACAATTTTTGGTTATGATCAATTTCAAAACAAAAGTACCAAAACTGACTTATTTCCTAAAACTATATTCAAACTACAAACACAAGCTATGAAATTATATTTTAGCAGCATCTTTGTAAAGAACCTCTTTTCATTTTATATTAATTCTTCTAGATGAATAGTCAGAGGATATACTAGGGCTATAGATATACTATTCACTGTAAGGAGCTGGTCTAAAGCAAACACAGCACATGTCCTTGCTCCTCACTACACTAAAGGCAGTCAAAATCTTGACCACAGTGATATTAGCACACTATAATATACCCAGCTTCACCTATATCAAGAGAAGGAAATTTTACATGCAGTGAAAATTATTTTTTTAACTCTGTGGTCTCATCTATGATATATGTCTGCATACTTATTTTGTACATGTATTCATTTCAAAAAATTCTTCACAAACATTTTTAAAGTCCAAGAACAAGAATAAGGATTAATAAAGAGTTTAATATTTGGRAAAAAAGATAAATCAGATCAATTCCTCAGATCATACAAGGGAATAAACTCTAAATGAACCAAAGATATAAAAAAAAATAAAACTACAAAAGTACTAGAGGAAAAAAGAGAAATGTCCCTGTAATATGAATATAGGGAAAGTGTTTTCATGGTAAATAGCATTTACAAGCAAACTCACAAGTAAATTAGAAGCTGGGAGAAAACATTTGCAACGTATATCATGGATAATGGGGTAGGGGCTGGGTGTGTGTTGCACTAATGTCTAACAAAGGACCTTTAAAAATAAAGGGCAAGGTCAGGCATGGTAGTGCATGCCTGTAATTCCAGTAGCTGAGGCTAAGGCAGAAGGATGGTGAGTTCAAAGCCAACTTAGCAAGGCCCTAAGCAACTCAGTGAGACCCTGTCTCTAATAAAATACAAAAACGGGCTGGGGATGTGGCTCAGAGGTTATGTACCYCGGGTTCAATTCCCAGTATCAAAAAAAGAAGAATGGCAAAAACAACCCAAAATTCTGTACAAAAAGAGGCAAAAGACATGAAGCCAATTCCCAAAAAAGTAATGCAAATGGCTCTGTAAATGGAAAAGTTGTTAGATTTCTCTCTAATAAAAGAAATAAATTAATGCTACATTAAGATACCATTTTTACCTAACCAGTTGGCAAACCTTCAAGTTTGACAATATATTCAACTGGTGAGACTGTGGGAGAACAAGGACTCTCTTATGTTGTTGACAGGAATCCAGACTGTATAATGGAGAGGAATTTAGCAACATCTAACAAAACTACCTAGGCTTCCACTCTTCAACCCAGCAATCTTATGTCTAGGAATTTGTCCTAGCTCCATTAGCTCAACATTGCAAAGGTTATTCATTGAAAACATTAGTTTTAAACAAAACACTAAAAAATACCAGCATCCAAGAATAAGAAATTATCATAGTACATACATCTATGGAATACAACTATAAAAAAGAATGAAGACAATCTCCATGAACTGACACGAAGTAATTTCCAGGAAATACTGTTAGTGACGAAAGCAAAGTTAGAAACAACATATACAGTATGCTACCTTTTGTGGAAGAAAGCAGAATGAGAAAATGTCCATATATCAGATTAGCACTAGAAAAAGAAAAAACAGGAAGAATGAACTAGGAAACAATGAAGTTGGAACATGATGGCACATGCCTATGATCCCAGCTATTTACAAAGCTGAGGCAGGAGAATTTCAAGTGTGAGGTCAGCCTCAGAAACTTGGTGAGAACCTGCTCAAAAGAGAAATATTCTGGGAACTGATATATGTAGCTCARTGGTTTAATCTCCTATACCAAATGTGGTACTAACGAAGTTGGTTACTAATGCGGGATTCAGGGAGCAGGATGGAAGGAATGGATATGAAAGAGATTTGACACTTTTCTGGGTACATTTTATTGTGTAGTTCTGACTTTAAGGAAGTAGAGAGTGGGGATAAAAATCTAAAACTGAAGGCAAACTAGAACAAATGAATGCAAGTGAATTTTAAATGAAGGAGAAAATTAAGCAAGCATAGTATATGAGTTTGTTGTTCAACAGACAGGGTGGAGAACTGAAAACATATCTTGAACTCCTTTAAGTAAGATTCCCTTACTTTCTTTTTCTTTCTTTCCTTTTTTTTTTTAAGTGACATGAATGAAGCAATTTCAAAACTATTTTAATTACAGAAATGAGCAAAAGAGCAAATGTGTTGATCTTGATAAAAATAAAGGTTCTCAATGTGGAAGAAGGTACATATAAAAAAATGAAATGGGGTAGGCAAAAGAGAAATCCGTGAGGATCAACTGGAATATGATAGTATAAACACAAGTATAAATCACAATTTCTAACACATATCTGTGTGTAGGCGTACATATGTGCACACATATGGGGAAGTATATGTGTGTCTTTTTGCATATGCACTTAAATGCATAATATGTTTCCTAGTTTGTCCTCTGAATAGGTCTAGAACTCAGATCTTGGTCTCTAATACCATCTCCTCACTCAAAGAAACAAGTGTTCCTTAGAGAAATGACTTGATACTAAGATCAGAATGGCCATAATATAAGCCAAAAATTAATAAAGGGCTTCAAAGGAGGAGGAAAAAAATTAGAAACATATGAACATGTTACAAGCATTCAATGTGAAAAGGCTAGGCAAATATGGGACAATTTGAACAACAACAACAACAAAATAATTAAGGACTGCCATGTATTATAGACCACCAGAGGCAAACAAACAAACAAAAAAAGGTGTGGGGGACCTATTTGTTCACATTATTAATAGGTAAGTAAATAGAAAGAAAAGAAGAAAGGGTTGCTGCTTACAGCAGAATAATGAGAGTTGACTAGTGGCTATAGAAGGATTGGTGGAGCTGAAGGAGTGCTGGTTCATCCCTTTGCAACCATCAGAGCACAGACTGTTTTGACAAGAATCATATCAACAGACACCAAACCTGACAACCTTATAGATGTGAGAGGACATTTTCATAAGGAGAACAGTTACAGGGTCTTAATGTGTCTCCCAACAGATTGCTTATTAACTTCAAGGGGAAAAAAACATAATCATCATGCAGTGGAAAAAACAAACACCATACTGATCAAAATTAACATTTACTAATGAGAGACAGAAAGCCATCATGTATATACCCTGAGGAGGACACAAACCACTGATATAGTAATCCCACTGGAATATATAACCTGAATCTAATCATGAAGAAGCATCAATCAACTCAAAATGAGGAATGTTCTAGAGGAAAATAACCAAGGGAGGAGGAATACCATTCTTCAAAGGTGTGAATTTATAATAATACAAAAGGAAAGGCTTGGAGGATTGAGGACATAGCTCAATGTTAAAGCATTTGTCTASCATGTACAAGGCCGTGGATCCATTCCCACACCACACACACACACAAAAAAAAGTATAGCTATGTTCCAAATCAAAGAGATAAAAGAAATATTGATAATAAAATACAATACCTGATTCTAGACTGGAAAGGGAAAAAGGATGCCCTAAGAAACATTGTTAGATCAACTGACAAAAGTGGAAAATGAATGTTATTGTATTAATACTATATTTAATAATATCAAAAACAATGGTGGTTATGTAAGTAAATATATTCTTTATTCTTAAGAAATACAACTTAAAGTATGTGGTAAGGAAGAATGTGTCATACGCAATTTTGAAATGATGCAGAAAAAATATTCTGTATATATACATAAATAGAACAAGTAATAAAGCAAAAGAGGTTGAATGTTAACAATGACTTAAGCTGGGTTAGAATATGTGAGGATTCTTTKTTCCACTCTTATTCTTGTGACCTTTCTAAATATATATATGTATATTGTAATGTTGAGGGTAGAATACAGGGAGACAATGGCAGACTAGAAGAGAATTCACTAGCAAATTAATTCAGCAACAACAAAAAACATTAAAAATCTTTTTGTTTATTTTGGTAGTGCGGACTAAACCCACAGGAGCTTTGCCACTAAGCTACATCCCCAGTCTTTTTTATTTTTATTCTGAGACAGAGTTTTGCTAGGCTGCCAAGACTGGCCTTGAACTTACAATCCCCCTGACTCAACCTCCTGAGTCACTGGGATTACAGGTATGCACCAGCACACCTAGTCAAAAATCTTCCCATCAGCTAGAATATCTTGACCAGATACTATTTCTAATACATATGGTCACACTCCTTAAGTTGGTATATAATAAGAACTGACTGGGAACCTAATGCACAAAGAGGCAAGTCTATGGTAGTGGTTCAGAGAATGAGTTCTAGAATCAGAGTGCTTTGAGTTTGAATCCTGTCAAACTTACACACTGTATAACCTTGGCCAAGTCATTTAATCTATCTGTGCCATAAATTCCTGAAAAAGACTTTTAAAGTGTCTCCATGTTTTTGTAAGAAGTAAAACATTAACATTAGAGTGCAGGGTATCATACATACCCGACACATATACTATTCAACAATGTTAACTTTGCATCATCACCACTCACATGGAAAACTGGCTATGTGGAAAGACTCCAACTACAAACTGAACCACAATGGGGTAAGCCAGACAAAATTAAATACGAGTACTCCCTGGGTATAGCCAACATCAATCAAAAACAATCTGAAGCAAGAAAAACCCTTCCGAGTCAGATGAAGTACACACTTAGTTTTAGGACCTCCACACAAAATTAATTAGAGGTACCCTAATCAAGTACAGGCAGAACCCAGGTCATCGGCATAGCAGCCAGTCTCTAGTCTGCTGATATTTAATCACTTTTATATTCACATTTATAAATTCTTCAAAACCAAATCAAAGACAAAATTCATTAACTATTTTTCTCCAACCAAATATATGGTTCTCACCAGGCACGGTGGCGCACACCTATAATCCCAGCAGCTTGGAAGGCTGAGGCAGGAGGATCATGAGTTCAAAGACAGCCTCAGCAAAAGCAAGACACTAAGCAACTCAGTGAGACCGAATCTCTAAATCAAATACAAAATAGGGCTGGGCACAAATCTCTGGTACCCAAAACAAAAAAAMCAAATATATGGTTCTCTTTTAGAACATGAACTTTTTTTTTTATTGTGTCATTCAAGTCTTTTTCCTCCAAGAGCTTTCCTGTTTTTAAAGGAAAAAAAGAAAAAGACTGTCTTTGTACAACATAAGGTAGTACAAATTTTCTGCTGTAAAAAAATTAGATAATGCTCCCCTCTAGTGGCTTACTTGGAATAAAGCCCATAAAATTCTATCAGCACCATCTTTGAAGTAGCAAAGGTATTAAATACTATTACAAATATAAAGTTGTCTTTTAGCTACTACTCAATGAAAAAGTATTATTCTGTCCATTTAATCGCTCATCAAAAACACTACTATGACCTTTACTACTACAAACAAGCAGTATCTCTACATTAGCTTAACAGTTAAATAAAAATACCTGTTCCAACAAATGGATCAAAGACAATATCATTTTCTTTCACTTTTCCATGGTTTGCCATGATGAATGATAAACCAGCATCCATGCTTGTATTTCCAATGAAGTGTCTCTTTTTGACACTATATGACTCAATTAGCTCTCTCTGTCCATCTGCAATCTAAATCAGAGATATTTTTCAAACTAGTAAAACTATAGAGAAGAGATTTAAGATTTAAGATAATCACAAAAAAAMCACAGCATCCTGTTGATGAGAACTTCCCACTTAACTACTGCTCTAAATTCATTCTTTTAAAATAATGTTTTTGAGGTAGTTCTGGACAAATATCTTTCCCTTTACTATGTCTTTTCAAACTAAATATGAATTGAATTTGAACATAATTATTCCAAGAATTGGTGCTGATAAGCTTTCCCGATTTCTTTTTCTCCTAAATAACAATAATCTATATAACATGAGTCTCAGCTTCCACTTACCCATGTACAGCCCCAGGGAAGTGAGCTGAAGTGTTCTAAGTAATCCATTTCTCTTAAGAATTAAGGCCTGGATTTAAGAGTTCCATAAATGAGATCCACAACTATTACAGTACTCTGCCTTCCTTCTATATTAGTAAAAAAGCAGTTTTTCAAATTTTCTGGTAAATTTTGTTTCAATGTCACTAGGTACACCACTGTCATCCTAGGTCACATATCTAATAAGCCTCTTGAACCTCAGAAATCTCTGGAGAAATGCATTGCATTTTTTGTATAAAGGCATTACCTTTTTTTTTTTTTTTTTGGTGGAGCTGGAGATCAAATTCAAGTCCTTATGCATGCTAAACAAGTCACTCTGCCACTGACCTATAACCCCAACCCATATTCAGCTTTTAAAAGAAACAAAATAAGATAGGCAGAAAGAATACTTGCTTACCCATCTACCAAAATAAATATTATATGGATTCTCAGGGATGCAATTAGGGTCCAAACCATAATCCTCCAAAATAGAGAATATATGTTGTGGTTTCTTTAAGTTCACTTTTCCTTCAAAGGGCAGAAATTCAAGTGCCTAAAAAATATAAGCAACTGTAATGTTCTATAAAATTTTCCAAGGGAAAATAGTACTTAACTAATAATATCTACCATGTAAGTCTGATGTCAGCAATTAAATAAGATAAAATGTGAAAATCCTTAGCAAAATTGTGGTACAAAACAAACAAATAAAACACTTGACATTAGCTGTTCCTATATATCAACAATGACTAGATTAGATTAATACTCTAGGGGTTTTATTTTGCTAAATTCACTTACATCTATTCGTTTGACTTTTTCTTCTTGTGTCAAYGTTTTATTGAATGTGTGAATCTTTATTTTATACGTAGAGTCTGAATGCAGAAATGGAACCTAAAATAAGCAGATAATTTTTTAAGACATTAGTAATACAAAATGTATATATATGCTTATATAAAAATCACATTTCACTACTCACCATCTTCTCCACAGGGTAATTTTTAAGAGAATTATACAGCTCCTCAGGAGATCTTCCATGACCCCATAGTTCAAATATAGACCTAGGGAATAAATGATTGGTACTAACCTCAGTAAAGAATTTAGTTCACACAGTAATATTTAAGTTATTTTACTAGTTCTTTACACTCACTCTTTAACAATTATTGTCTGTGTGTTCTAAGCTACAAACAACAAATACATGTTGTGGAAACAAATATAGCATAAGTCCAAATCACACAAAAAAATTGAACCTAATAGAGTTGGGTGGAAGTTTAATATAATTTAGGATTTGTCCAAGTTTTCATCTTTTTATATGCTAGGATTGAACCCAGGGCTTTGCACATGTTAGCATTGACTCTACCAACTGAACTACATCCCTGGCACCCCATCATTTTATTTTTATGCTAGATCAAATGATGAAGTAAAATCATTTAAGATATTTTGGTCAAATGGATGAGAAGTTGCAGAAAATCCAAGTTTTCCCAATGTCTTCTCCATAAAACAAAAAGGACTATATACAAATGTTGCTATTAGCATTTGGCTATGATTTGGTAATATCTATTAACAAAGCTACTCAAAATGTTAAGATTTAACAATGTAGGTTTGCTACAGTTTTTATCTTATTTTGTGTGATCAATATAGTCTAAGCTAAAAATAAATAATTAAAACCCATTTTCAATCACTTTTCTACTACAGAAAATTCTGAATTTAAGTTAGTTTTTTGGGGTTTTTGGTACCGGGGATTGAACTCAGGGGCACTCAACAATGAACCACACCCTCAGTCCTGTTTTGTATTTTATTTAAAGACAAGGTCTCAAGGAATTGCTTAGTGCCTTGCTTTTGCTGAGGCTGACTTTGAACTCCCAATCCTCCTAAGAACCACTGGGATTACAGGCATGCACCACTGCACCTGGCTTAAGTTACTTTTGAATTTAWGCTTATAAGTCTATTTTCATTCTGCTATGAGATTGTAAATACTATCCTTTAAAAATGAATTCCTCCTTTTCATTCTATTGAATTTATACAGAAAAAAACTCTATTCTTACTACTCTTACTTAATAATCTCTTTAATATTTACTTCATCATGCAAATTGTAGAAGAAGTAAACTGAAAAAGTATTAAGTAATATTATTTAATATTACAATTATTAATTTTACCAATCATCAAATATAAGCATCAGATGATATAAGTTTTAAAAGAAGTGCACAAATTCTTAGTACTCAGGTATTTGTTTTAAATTGAATAAGCCTCATATTTGGAATTCAAACACTTCAGCCAAAAATTTTGAAATCAGGTAAAATAATAAGTCATTCAAAGAGTAGTTTTTAGTTATGTTCTCATTTTTGAGTCATTTTTATTTAATAAACAAGACTCACTAACAAATTTCAGCTTAAGGGATTAGACTTTTAGGGCTGCAGGTAGTTCTCAACAGGAGGAAGTTCACTAAATAAGGGGTTATAGCCAATTCAATGACAACAGAAATTACATATCACACTATGAAGCATTGCTAACGATGTTAATAAAATGATATATGAATAATCTTAATTGCATTGCATTAATAAACATAATTTCTAAGAGAAAGGTTTTCAACAACCTGTCAAAATATTCAAGRAAAAAAACAACTGAGAAAAACTAAAAAGTGTCAATAAAAAAATACTTTTAAAGAAAAAATGCAAGAAAAGGAAAGAGTAGATGTCAATGATAAAAATCTAGAAACTCAGGATAATTTATTAATTTATACCAATATACTTCATTAATTTATATCAATATATGATCATTAAACTGCTTTTTCTTTAACAAAGAAAACAGTAAAACATGTTTCAGGGCAGTCCCCACATTTTGTTACATTACACTTTACCAGTCTGCTCAATCCAACTAAAAATCACCTGTATGAAAAGCATTTTTTGGCCAGGAGTGTTGGTGCATGCCTATAATCCCAGCTATTCGGAGAGGCTGAGGCAGGAGGATCAAGGATGTAGATGTAGCTGAGTGATAGAGACCTCTGGGTTCAATCTCCAAATACAGGGGAGAAAAAAAAAAAAAAAAAACACTTTCTGAAATTTTAATACTCTGGTTATACTTAAATGTGGCATCTATCCTACATAAGAATGTAGCATTTATACCCCATACTATACTCCCAGTTAATACAGCACTTTAAAGAAAAATGGTTCTAAGCAAGAGTTTCTACATTTCTCCATTGAGAATCTTCCAACTTTTAATTTCAGCAGGTAATTCTTTTCCCACACCGCCACCCAGTGGTAAATGCATGTTAACTACAAGATAAACCAAGCTCCTGCCACAACCAGTCCTACTTTCTACCAAAATAGAAGAGGGCAGTTAAGTATGGGGTACACTCATGCAGGATAACATGGTAAGTTTTTCTTACTTGGCACACACTGTCCGTTTCATTAAGTTTCTTGCAATATCTTCAGAGGGAAGACTAAGAATCCAAAATGGTGACTGAAATAAATAATAATACGCAAGTTATTTCTAAGTAGCTACCAACACCTGGTTCGCTTTTATTCAAGAAGTCAACAGGAGAAATTTCTATTTGCTGCTTTCACTTAAGAATACCTGATCTGACTCTATAGAAAAATGATCCAATGAATGAAAATATCAAATTAAATTTAAAATTATTTAACTTTAAGATTAATTTTGTATTTGCCTTAATGTAGTTTAACTAAAAGAAACRATGCACATTATACTACAGAATACAGTCTTGGAAACTTTTATCTTTGCTTATCATTTCTTATAGTACAGCTATTTTATTTTTAACTTATAAGTAATGTATTTCTTAATACTAAATGATCTCTTTTTCTAAGTAGCTATGGTTATCTGAGAGGTAGATGAGGGCCCTGTGAAACAACTATGATAGATAATCATGGGGAACATTATTATTACCATTAAGTTGTACTGTTTTATTATATTGTCTAGGAGGAAAAAAAAAAAGGTCCAAGTCAATCAGGAGTTTCTCAATCCCCTATCTCAATACCCAAGATTACAGGAAATATCTTCTCAAACAGTCCCTTGCCAGAATACTGCCAAACACAGCAGTGTCCTGACCTCATTCATCACTCTCCTTTCACTTTGCCTCAATAACTGAAAGTAAATAAGGAATATAACTCCAATACCATGGAACTTTTAATTTAAGTTCTCTCATCTTTTGCAAGAAATCCTCCCTGACATTAGCAGTCTATCTTCTTCCAAATAGAAAAACAGATCATTAGTATTAATTCTATTTAAAAAATTTTTAAAGCAATCTAAATTAAATTAAATGGTTATATAAATTATAGTATAGTGCAATTACATTGGTGATAAAGGCTAAGAACAACACATACCTATATTAATATTGTCAAATAAAAAAGACAGGTTATAGAAGTTCATGGTAAGTAATATTACAACTGAGGAGGATAAAGGATATGAAAAAGACTGGAAGGTCATATCCCCAATTATAAGTCATGACAAGGTGAAAGAACTGTAAATCATTTTTCTTTTCTTTTTTTGTTTTTCCAAACCTCTTTAAAACACTGATAAACTATAAATACAAAATAAAAGCTTATAAATTCACAATCGTATACAGTATAAAATTTCAAATTTTAAAATTATGCCCAATATAAACCTACAGTTCATTTAAATTGTAATTCTGAATACATTTAATCAACAGAATATAGTCCTTTCTTAAATGAAAGAACAGATATACATTATGGTGCAAGTGTTGAATTAAAATTAAATTTGGGACTGGGAATGTAGTTCGGTGGTAGATGACTTGCCTAACAAGTATGATACGCTGGGTTCAATCCCCAGCACCAAAAAATGAAAATAAAAAATAAAAATTTAAAACTGTAAGTACATCTGTTACTTTCCAAAGCCATAATCTTCCCCTAAATATCCTTTTTATTTCATTTTCYCCAGGAACAGATACAAATAACCACACAAATATAAATTTAAGCTCTGTAGTTCTCTTCAAACCCAAGATTCTATTTATATATACATTACATATGGTCTAATGAAAATTCACCTTACCTTCCCATAAGTTTCTTGACTGCTGATGAACTGACCTCCAAAAAGTGAAAGCAAAGATTTTATTTCCTGCATTGAAAATATTATAGAGAGAATATATTTCAAACAGGAAACTCAAAGTCTTCTAAGAGAAACAAACCTAATATGATTAAAAAAGAAAAAGAACGGAGTGATATCTACCCAAGGCATTTAAGTTTCAATATCAGACAATTCCAACTCAGGGTTCTGAAATTTTATAGTCACAACCATGGTTAAGTAATTTCAGAGAATTTTAGACAACAGAATTGCCAAGTATGATCAGAGAATGTCCTGATTTTAAAAGGGGGCGGGGAAGCAAAAATAAATTACAGACACTATAGATTGGCAAATTTAACAATACCTCATAAAAATAAAATGAATAATTAAAAACATGATTTGAGGATATTTGGAAAATAACTACAGAGAATCAACATGGATTCATTAAGCACATTAAATTAACCTCTTCTACCTGGATTAAACTATAGCACTAGAAAGAGAACTAACATAATAGGCATGTTAAAGCATCATGCGTACAAAGTTGAAATCACTTCCAATAGTTTGTGTATTCTGTGAGGCACACACTTTGTATTGATAAACGACGAGTATACAAATTTTATGACCTGTACCACTAACAACTACTATCTACAAATTCTACCTACTGAAAGCAGGTAAAATCTTGTATAGGTCCTATGGAGCAGGTAACCTAAAGAAGGAGAAATGTCCCCACTACTGGTTGCTGACAATTCCCTTTCCTCCCAACCAGAAGAAAAAACCTTTAACACCAAGYCTTCAGTGAGTGTCAGCCATCACCAGGGAATGCATACCCACATCACCAAGTTCCTCATTCCAAGATCCAAAGGAATGGGAGGTTTAAGCAACTAATGCCATTTGTATTTTTCTTTTGTCTCTGCATCAAATAATTTCTTATATTAGAAGGAGGTGAATTCAGTACAAAAATATGGATAGAGCACAACCTAAAACAAACTACCAGTAAATCAGTAAAGGAAACCCAAAGGTTATTTAGCAACATGAGTAACACAAATTGGAATAGTAGACATTATGAGACTCAGGACTAAGACAGACTACAATCTGATTTCAGATCTTCCACATACTAGCTATGTGGTTTTATACATGAAATTAAACTTCTTTTACATCCAGTTCCCTTGGGTGTAAAATAGGAATCAGAGTTATCTCATGAAGTTAGAAGATCTATATAGAGAGAAGCACAGACTCTTAGGGTATATTAAGGGAATCTAGATAATGATGACCTCAACACTATTACTGAAATTCAGCAGCTCAGGAAGTTAAGCAAGTCTAACAGAATTATAACAATCAGAAGGAAAAAAATGAACTTATAGATTAGGTTACTTGGTCTTACATGATTGTTGTTCCTTCTGTATTAAAGTATTTTGGGAATCAGCTTTACAATTAAAACATCTAAATACAACCAAGTCAAAATTTGCTGCTCCTAGAATCATTGCTAAAAAACAGTGATAGGCTAAAATATAAAGGTCTTAAGAGTTGGAAACAAAATGGATGCAGTGGCACACACCTGTAATCCCACTAACTTGAAGCTGAGACAGGAGGATCACAAATTCAAGGCTAGTCTCAGCAACTTAACAAGGTCATGAGCAACTTAGTGAGATACTGTCTCAGAATAAAAAACTTTAAAAAAGGGATGGGGATGTGGCTCAGTGGTAAATTGACTCTGGATTCAATTCCCAGTACCAAAAAAAGAGAGATAGAACGAGAGATGCAAAAAAGAAAGTGAAGAATTATCAGAAGTTTTATAGCATAGCATTAGCTCTAATACCCAAAACTTAAATAACCACTTAAAACTGACGGTAAATGTGATAAGTCATTTACCCTCAGTTTTAAGTGGTTATTTAAGTTTCAAATTTATAAGCACATTGTTTATAAATTTGGCATGATCAAGACAGGTGAGATACACATGATTAGCTTCAGGTACGATTCTTTCTTCTGAAGGGACATCTAATGGATTTTGTTTACATGCTCCTGATATTGTAGCATGACACATCAGTTTTATGCTTCCTTCTTCTGCCATTGCAAATATGATTCTAATACAATATTTACAATCTATGTCCTATGAACTGTGGACAGAGCCATCTGTGTTGTGGTATTTTTTAATTCTCAGGCCTATACCTTTTCAGAATCCTTAATTTTATGGAACTAAGTTCTTTTATTTATACCTTCTGTCTCATTGTTTCCAAATATAACTCTCATTGTATTTTTTTTCTGTATTATTTTCCTTTGGATGAGAATATAGATAAGGATAAGGTCTCATCTCAAATCCTGTTTTTTCCTTAATGGTATGATACCAGCATGCCAGATACTGGCAACCTGATGGTCTGTGTTTGTTTTTCACTCAAATCTTGAAGTTCTCTCTCTCTCTCTCTTTTTTTTTTTTTTTTTTGGTACTGGGGATTGAATCCAGAGTCAATTTACCACTAAGCCACATCCCCATCCCTTTTTCCACTCAAACCAGATCATTTATTTAAGTTGCTTACTTTTTCATCCATTTAGGTTTGTTTCAGAACCAGCAATAAAATCCAAGTCGCTTGAACTTAACTTTTAGTATAAGGCAGCAAAAAAATTAAAATTGGCCCTAACTCTATATGAGAGGTAAAACTGGACTACACTTAGATTCCTAATCTCTCATTTTAATTCATAAAGGCAGCTACTTCTTGTAGCTTCTTGTTTAGCAATTCTAATGAAGTAGATAGGTCCACAAGTGTAGAATGAGGTCCACAAGTGTAGAATGTCCCTTTATTACCTTCCCTAGAAGGTACCTTATTTCATTTAATTCAACATTATAGAGCAAATTTTATGTGCAAGGCACTAGGTAAGATAAATATCTATTTATCCTAAAGGAGTTTAGGGTTTAATGGAATTAATGAAACATTTAACCCCACAATTGAAGTGTGAAGTGTTCTTAAAGAAAGTAAAAGCAAGGCCGTGTGTGGTGGTGCGCACCTATAATCTCAGCGGCTCAGGAAGCTGATACAGGAGCATCAACAGTTCAAAGCCAGCCTCAGCAAAAGCAAGGCTAAATCAATGGCAGAGGACAACCTCTTCCAGGAAAGGTAAACTAGATAATTCAGATTAAGTCTCTTGATATGAAAAACTGAAAAAGCTGAATATCTACTGAAAGCCCAGAGAGCGAACCAGAATCACCAAACCAAGACTGAAGAGAAATTTCAAGAAAGAACAAAGACAGGGATTTCAAGGAAGAACCACTTTTCCCTAAAACATTTACCAACTTCAAAAACAACTGTCAAGGCAAAAATCCCTCTGATAGCCTAATGGAGCTAGAAGGACAAAAGGAGTACAGGGCTGCCCATGGGGAAGATAGGAGATTTGACAAACAAACCACCCGATTTTTACTAGGATCCCATACTCTAGGAGCGTGAATGAAGCAGAATATAAACAGAGCTTAATATCTATTACGGTTTAGATATGGTCATCCTCCTACCTAAAAGTTCATGTGAGACAATGCAAGAATGTTCAGAGATGAAATTAGATTATGAAAGTTGTAACCTAATTAGTGGATTAATCCACTGACATGGATTAACTAGGCAGTAACTRTAGGCAGGTAGGGTGTGGATAGGGAATAAGTCACTGGGGGCCGTGACTTTGGGGTTTATATTTTTTCCCTGGTAAACAGAGCTCTCTCTGCTTATTGGTTCTCATGCCCTGAGCTGTTTTCCTCTCCCATGCCTTTCTGCCTTTGTGTTCTGCCTCAGTAGGGGTCCAGCTACGCAGTAGGTCATCTGTGGATTGAGACTTCTGAAACAATGAGCCAAAATAAACTTTTCCTCCCCTAAGTTGTTCCTGTCAGTATTTTGGTCACAGTGACACAAAGCTCACTAAAACAATATCTGAAAATTAGTTAAAGTGACTCTGGACTCCTAATGCTTTTTTCTATGTGTTCCATCCTTTTTTAAGAGAATGTACTTTGGACTGGGTTGTGGCTCAGTGGTAGAGCACTTACCTAGCATATGGGAGGCCCTGGGTTCGATCCTCAGCACCACATAAAAATAAATAAATTAAAATAAAGGTATTGTATCCATCTACAACTAAAAAATATTTTAAAAAGAAAGAGAGAGACTGTATTATCATCCTAGTTTTCAAAGTATTTCTTTGAATAAATTTTCAAAGATAGCATCCGGCACATATTTAAAAAATAATCTAGCACATATATCTGAAGAAGAAACAGAAACTTTATAAACAATAGAAACAGACCCACAGTGCCCCTTTATGAGTCACATACTTTAGCTACTCGGCATTCTATATTGAAGGGGATAAAGAAGAGTCATCCCCTGGCAGAGGATGTTGTAGATGTTAAAAATAATCAAGTAAAAAATATAAACMTAAAATAAGTAAATATGCAGGTAAATCTAAATGAGTACTGATTATATAAAATCCAGAGATTAAATTATAGGAGAGGAAAGACCCAAACCAGACAAAAGGAACACAGAGAGCAAAAACCAAAGCAGGAAAATGGAGGATATCCTTCAGGGAATGACAGGGAGTCAGTTTGGGTGGGATTAAGGACTGGGAACAATGTGAAAAAGCCAACAAGAAAGCTAGGCGTGCCAGACCATTGGAATTTTAACCTTAAGAAAAAGGGGGCATAAAACAGAACTGAGCTTATGAAACATTAAACTGGCACCAGGGTAAGACAGTAACTAATAAGAAAATAAAGGGAAGAAACAAGTAAATTCAGCAAGTACTAGGGATGCTATTCTTAACACCACAGCCTAACCCCTCCATTCCCACCACACTGCCTTACTTTAGGTACTTATTCTAGTTCCTCTCTAGTATCCTCTAAATGGTATTTTTGTCTGGTATTACAGAATTATCTCTAATAAAACAAAAATGATCTTGTCATATCCTCTCAAAAAGAAAAAAAAAGTCAATGTCCCCCTCAATCTAAAATAAAAATTCAAACACCCTGGAATAGTTTCAAACACTCCAAAATCTGGATGCTACCCCACCTCTCTAGCTTCAATGCCCCCTACCTTCATCCTCTCTCCAATAACCAACTACATTTCTATACCTTGCATGTGCTTCTCTTTTTCAGGGAAATGGGCTTTCCAATCCTCTTCACTAACACAGTATCTCCTTTATAATTTAAGACTTTCCTTTTAAATATAAATGTGCATTTTCAAGTTTCCTAAAGGAATTCAGTATTTCCTAATACTGAATCAGTGCTACAATCTTCCTGCATAATTCCCAAGGACAATAAGTTGAACACTAATTGAGAAAATCAAAGAATCTTGGCACAATTGAAAACACACAATCTTACCAGGCATGGTGGCACACACCTGTTATCCTAGCTACTTGGGAAGCTGAGGCAGAAGTATCAAGTTCCAGGCCAGCCTCAGCAACTTAAGAAGACCCTGTCTCAAAAACAACAGCAAAAGGGTTGGAGATTTAGTTCAGGTAGAAAACTTCTGGGTTCAATCCCCAGGACCAGAAAAGAAAATGAYAGAAAACAAAAATATACCATCTACACCTTCAGTGGCTTGCTGATTTTTCAGCCTTGCTCCAACACCTGTGGTCTTCTCTACTAAACTTTGTCCTTGTTACCTCCCTCCTCAAAGACTATTTACAATTTCRCTATTTTTCATTTTTCCCATTCAACTGCTGATGCCTTATGTCTGAGAAAATAACTCAGATTTATTCACTTCCTAGAAAACAGATCTCCAGGCAATTTCCACCCCAACTCTCCTTTGCTCAATCTCCCTTTCTACTGAAAGGTGAATTTTTCTCCCACTATGTCCTTATATCCATCCTCCCCTTCCCTTCAGCCTATAATCATGCTCAAACTCAATCTCTCTTTAAAGGGAGTCTTCCTTTGACCAGAGTCAACCAATCTCTTAACTTTCCTTTCTTACGCTCTACTTAAGAGCAGTCCAGCCTATTTTCCTTTCCTTATTTTCCAGTGATTTCTAAATCAAGCAATTGGCTTTTCCCACTAAAAATCTAAACAGCTTTAGAATATTCACCTCTAACCTTCTGAGAGTGTAACTGAACATTTTTCATTACTTTCTAATCAAAAAACACATTCATTGACACTATTAATTTATCCCTGCTTTCTAAAACTTTACCCTCTGGATGTCTGTGGTCTCACACCCTTCTTTTCTGACATTTGCAATACATCTCAATAGCAATGGGTCCAAGAATCTGTACTTGGCTCACCACTCTTTTGACCCTATGCTTGTAGTAATTTTATCCTCTCTTCTAGTTTGCATATGCAGAAGACTCTCAAATATTTATCATCAGTCTGGAGATCCCTATTATGCTCTATGCATACTCATATCCACTACCTACTGACCAACCTACTGTATACTAGTGAAGCAAATTCAGTGTAACTGAAACTTAAATCTTACCATYTGCCTGTGTACTTACTTTAAATGGAGACATGCCTACATCCATCCCAGGAGTCATCCTCAACTTGCCCTTCTCCCCCTAACAATCTAGCTCTGATGATCTTATCACCTAAATGCTTTACCAGTCTATCCCATCTTCTTAACACTCTTACTAGGTCAGGCCTTCTTTTTTTTAAAATTTTACTTATTTTATTCATTTTAGTTATTGATGGACCTTTATTTTTTTATCTATATGTGGTGCTGAGAATTGAACCCAGTGCCTCACACATTCGAGGCAAACATTCTACCACTGAGCCACAACCCCAGCCCCAGGCCTTCTTAATTTACAAGACTACTCCAACTAACTCTTAACTAATCTCTGATTCCCTTATTTCCCTCAAATCCATCCTCCATTTTGCTGTCAAAGTTATTTTTTAAAAAACTAATTCTGCCCTTCAATAAACTATTCTTCCAACCCCCAACATATTCAAGGCTTTGTATTTTCTGATCCCTCTCTACCTCTTCTGGTCACTTATCACTCTCTGCCAAATATTTGGTGATCTAGTAGTAGCTAACAGTTTGTAATACTAATGTATTTATTTCTTTCCCTGGTCCAGCTAACTACTAGTAGCCCTATAGTTCAAGTGTTATTCCCACRGACGTCCTCTTAAAAGCCAAGATCTCCCCGACCCCTGTCCCTCAGGTAGATGAGATTCCCCTTCTATATTCTCTCATATTTCCCTGTGCATCCCTCTCACTGCACCTGCTAACCTAATTCTATGCTTATGTGTCTGCTCAGCCCTTAGCCTAAAAAATAAGCCCCTTGAGAGCAGAGGCTGTTATCAAGATATTAGGTAGGAAGTAGCTAGCAATGAACAGTGAAATTGCATGGAGAGGTCATAAAGTGTTCTTTTTACTTTAGGGTCCTTCTTTAAACTATCTTAAGAAATCAAATGGTGACAGTTAATCTGTAGAAAATAAACAAAAGCAAGAGAACTATTTGTAAAACATGTCAAGAGAAAAGGATTAATAGGACCCTTGACAGGGTTCACCGAGGTTGATGTGAAGTTAGGCATTATGGCTACAAGCGTCCAATTGTCTGGGAAGGAAGATTCCTTTAGTAATGCAAGTGCACTAAGGCAACTTCTGACCAGCTATTGACCCCAGTGCCCACATTAACAAAGAACTGACTTATAGATTGAAGGCCCCCTAAATATGACAGCCACATGACAATTCTGGTGAGGACCAACTAAGGTTAAAAACTCCACCACCGAAGTGGAAGGAATTGAACATCTGATTGGMGAAGGTTGCTGAAGAAGGACCCCACTTTTCAAGTTAACCACAAACAGCAAAAAATTTAGGGAGAGCATTGTCTCTGTCATTCTCTGCTCAGAGTCGGACCACTGGCTCTCTTGAGAGGGTTCTTTACCTGAACCTCATTTTACTTTTACTTTACTTTGACCTCACTTTCACTTATAATAATAAGTTCTCCTGCATGACTTTTGGTGTCTGGTTTTAAATTTTCTTTCTTCCAAACACAAGGACGGAGGTTTGGAGTTTCAGCTCTCTGCTTTCCTGTGGCAATGATATCCTCAGTGTCCAGCATATTGGATTGCAGCCATTCCAAAAAGGTTTCTTGAATACATTTAAAAAAAAAATCTCCCCAACTTCTCCATCAACTAACAGCAACTACCACGCTTGAACCTCATATTCTGTACGTAAAACACACACCGAGCACTCCTCTTGGATATCTCTATCCTCCGCTACTCAAATAAGCTCCCGGAGGAAGAGGCCCCATCATTTTCGCCTGCCTAATTCTGGTACCTGGAGCACGTGCAGAATGAATGAAAAGGCTCAGCAACACTGAGAGGACTTCTCTCTCACATACCCTCCTCCAAGGACTAACAGAACTTCTTTCACCCTTCGCAAAGCTCAGCCCAGCCCAGGGACCCAAGGATTGGGGACCAAGCAGTCCCCTGAATCGGTGCGTGCGTTGAAGGTGCGGGGAGCCTCCACCCACAACCAGACCCCACCGCTCAGTCCTCTCCAGTCGGGAATTGGGAAGGGCGCTGCGGGCTCACCGGGAGGCGGAATTCCAGGTGCTCCTGAGCCATAAGCAGCAGATACCTGTTCAGAGTGCACCGCAGCGCCATAGCGGCTGCTCTCMATGCGCCTGCGCGGCCCGCTTGGCCCCGCCCCCTACCCCTCAAAGAGCGTTTCCCCTAGGCGGAGCCTGGGCGGCCGGAAGCGGAAGTTCAACAGGGAGCGCGCGGTGCTGACAGTTTTCACGCCTGGCGTCCGCACTCTCCAACTGTTGGAGCGGCTTAAGTCTGGGTGGGGGCCCAAGTACAAGTAGCTGGTGCAAGGAGAAGCGTTGTTTCCTGGAACAGATTCTGATAAATCGAGGCCGAGGTCATAAGTCCAAAACATCCATGCATCTCTGTCAGGCTGAGCATCTAACACTTGAAAAGGGATTGGGTATCAGAGATCCAATGGGAAGGAGAAAAGTTAATCTGTTAAGATTTTTGCAATTAGAAAAAAATAAAAGTATTTTGTACCGACTTATATAGGAATTATGGGAATGTCAAATTTCTTGATGTGCCAGAGGGGTCTCTGGTATCATTCGTTAATGAATATGGTTCATGAAAGGAGAGAAATAACAGTGGTTGCTCCATAGAAACAAGAATGCAAGTTGAAATTCTGAGGCACCAATTCAGACTTGAGCAACTGGAGTTTTCTGATTTAAGAATGACTCAACTCCTGGAAGTCAAATTTCCAACAAGAAAAATCTCCAGAGGTGGACAAAAGTAAATCCTGTTCTATGGTCTAAAGACTCCCCAGAAGAAACATGAAGCCCTAGTTTGCAAACTATGTCCTCTAATTTGCTAGGAAGCAGATTATGCGCATAGAAAAATGTGTGAAGGAAAACTGGGGATTCAGCCTTCTTTCCTGGTCATCATAAACCCTAATGCTGTCACAATTCAAACACTGTCATCAAGGGCTATACATTCATAAACATGATAGCTGCCTAATTGAACTAAGCTGGAAGACAACTCTCTCCACATCTTATTAGGTGACTGAAATACCAAGTTCTCCCCAAAGAAGCCTAACCCAAGGCCTACCGGAATTTCCTCTTTGGGCCACTCCTTTGTTTAATTATTTTAAGTTTTCACTCTTTTTTTTTTTTTTACTCCAAACAAAGGGCAAAGCAAGACAGTGATTATTAACTCCACTGCTCAAGAAGCTTCAGCTTTGCAGCTTAGGTGGACTTTTCATGATTTTAAATAGATTAATAGATTTAATCTTTGAAATGGACCCCATTTATTATTTCCCTTGGGCATAACTTGTAAACCAGTAGTAGTACAACATCACAGCGCATTTGCCTCATATGAGCCAGGTCTTTCATTTCCCCATTCTCTCTTCTTCCTTCCCCTTTCCTTCCTTCCTAAAATACAACCAAGTTTGATTTCTGAATTAAAAGGCCTTTTGGAAAGTAATTCACAAACATTACATTCTTGCTTAAGGTAGGTATGCAGCTCACCTTCTAGATGCTTTTTAAGCACATATTGTTTTAAGCATAATTCCCAGTACTCTCCATCTTTTAATCCTAACTGCTTCCCAGGAGTAGAAAAATTATATAGTGTTGGGGCTCAGATGAGAATACACCAAAATGAAGGCCTCGGAACAAAATTTCTTACTCTGTCTTCTGCTCCACTTTTTCCCTACAAGACAAGCCATAAAAACTAGAATTCCTCTTCCCCATGGGGAATAATAGAAACTAGAACTCTTTCACTCCAAAGCAAGCCCATAAAGCCCCAAAATACTAATCTTCCCCCACCTGTCTTTGAGTGGACCATAAACAAATTCTTCGGCCTACCTTGTCTGACAGATCATAAGACTTCCATTTCAGAAGGGGTCTTGCCCGCCCCATCAGGGTGGAAGGAGTGCTGCACAGGGGCCAGAACAGTTAAATAGGCCTTCCTGTGTTCCCCCACTGTCTCTGACTATTAAATCACACCTTTCTTGTCTAATCCTATTACTCCATGGCTGCTTTCTCTTCATAGAACCCAAGGGCTCTATGGATCTTTGAGTCTTCATTCTTAAGGCTCTTGTCACTTAAGTTATGATTAAACCAATCTCCATCAATTTTTCTATTAAGTACCCACTGTCAGTCCCTTTCAGTAACTCTTCATGAAGCCTTTCCTTTTATCCTATAGTAGTCTGTAGATCATCCCTAATCCATTTTAGGGATTTTCTTAGTCTACTATATAACAGCAGAGTCAAATGTAGTGTTTTACTCAATCCTATAGAGCACAGGTTCTCAAAATTGGCTGCATATTGTGATTACCTAAAGAGTTTTTTTTAACTACTGAGGCCTGGAATCTAACTCAAGATTCAAATTTAATTTGATTAGAGTGCATTCTGGAAATAAAGTTTTAAAGTTCCTGAGTTGATTTTAATGTGCAATCAAATTGGAAAATCACTTACAGCAGTAGTTCTCAAAGTGTGGTTCTAGGACAGGCAGCATCAATATCACCTGGAAACCTTTTAGAAATGCTGTCCCACTCCCCAAAAAAATGAATCGGAAATTTTGGAGGTGGGGCCTAGCAGTTTGTTTTTTAAAAAATCCACCAAAAGGTGCTGAATAATGCTAAGGTTTAAGGATAACTTCTTGGGGGAGGAGATGAATGGATGGGCTTTGAGTCTCTAGAGGCCCAGGCATCAAAGACTAATGTTTTGTTGTTTCCTTATCCATCTCTGGGGAGACAATTCATATGATAAATTTGCAAAATTGTCACCATCACAAATATTTTTCTCAGAAGAAGATGTATCAAGAAGGAAGTATTCCTCTTTGGTCAACTAAATTGAGAATTAGTCTTGAATCTCCTTAGCTATGAAAATATCTAGAATAATCACTTAATAGGTGATTTCCTGTGGGCCAGGAATGTTGTATAGAACCTAAGCCCTTAGAGAAAGAACAAATCTAATAATGTCAAGAACTATATGATACTTTCCCATAGCCCTGTAAGTTTCAATATTAAACTCTTTAAAATCTCTGATATGAATTAATTCTTTGGAAACTCAAAAGAAGTCTCACACTTGAGTTATATTGATAATGATACTGCCATTAAAGATATCAGTCCAGAAAGATCAGCTGACATCTAGATTATAATCTTCTGGATTGAAATTTGCCTAAAATTATGGTCTTCAGTCACTTTGGTTTGTTATGGTAATATGTGAAGGCATTCAGAGATTAAATTACATTTACTGACAAGYCACATCAATCATTCACTAGAATAAGGCAATGCAGTTACAAAGATAAGGTTAAAAAATAAAATAAGCCCCCAACTCCAAGAGCTCAAAATCCAGTGATGAGACAGCCCATTCTATCTTGACTAGATTGCATAAAATGTCCATGCTAGGRTTGAAGCAGAAGAAACAATATTGCTACAGTTGGGGATGGGAGACAACAGAGAAGACTTCACAGAGAAAGTAATATGTGAGCCAGATAAACATATTTACAAAGATGTGATCAGTTTAGTAATATACTGTTACAACTAAAAATGTTAAAAYTGTTGGTTGTTATAACAACTGTTGTCACTAAAAATGGATGGTACACTAGGATACAAGTGTGAGAAATACAGATAAAAAAGCTGAAACATTATCTTGAGGGTAGATGATGAGGTTAATTTAGTGATTTAATTTTTTTTACTTGGTGCTTGTGATTGAACCTAGGGCCTCATGCATATTAGGCAAGTGCAGTACCAATGAGCTATATCCCCCAGCCCCAGTTTAGTAATTTAGGYGGTAATTTAGAAAGAACTCTGTTAGGCAGACAGTGACTAGAGGCAGGGAGCCCAGTCAGGAGATTCTAGCAATAGTCAAGACAAGAAAGTATCAATATCTGAAGACAGACACTGGGCATTAAGAGGATTGAAATGATTTTTACTTTAGGACTTCTTCAAGGTTACACCCTGGTTCTAAAACTTTTGGTATAAATCTCAAGGTAAAGTGTTTAGGAGCCTGAGGAAACATGGCATGTGTGTTCTAYTTAGTAGAGCAATGAATTAAGAATAGACTGCAGAGTTGGGCAAGGATAAAAGTWGGGAGATCATAATAAAGAAGTTTCTGCTGAATCTAAAGAAAGGATAACTTGGCCAAGATGAAAATAGTACAAGTGGTAAGAAGTGGTAAAATTATGAATATAATTTGAAGATATTGCCAATARATTTGCTAATGTTAGATATGAATGTGAAAGACAAGTAAAATATGGCTCCAAGATTTTGACTTCAGCAACTCAAAAGACTGGAGTTGCCATTGATAAAGATAGAACAGATGAATGTGTTGGGGGTGGGGGAAATTTGAAGCTTGAGGTGCATATTTTAATACCAACTTAGTTGAGTCATATTTGGTTTAGGGTTCAGTTTAATCAGTGCATGATTGTTGGTTGTGTTCCATCTCTCCCTATGAGATTTTAAATAACTAATCATACATCTGATTCTCCTTAATTAGAAGTGGATAAGACATTTTCATTAAATTAACTTAAGTTGAATTAGAGATATGGTTATTGCATTTATTTTAGTAGAATAAACAGGTACCAGCTTCATTTTGGTAACTTGGGAGTACCTGTACCTAGTACATACTGAAAATTTAATGAAACTTGTGTTTTGTAGAGGACTTTTTGACATCAAAACCTAGAAATATTTGAGTGTTGCAATAACAAAGATTGTGCTCTGACCTTCAATTCTTTGTATGAAACAAGAGTGAACCTTTTGTGTACTGTTATCAGCCAATTTATCAAACACCATTTGAACATGTTTTTAGTATTATTAAGAGTCCACAGAGGGACTGGGGTTGTGGCTCAAAAGTAGAGCGCCACCTAGCACGGGTTTGATCCTCAGCACCACATAAAGTAAAATAAAAATTGTGTCCACCTATAACTAAAGAAAATATATTTAAAAAAAGAGTCTACAGAGGCAAAACTTGACACAGTATTTTTCTATTTTTTATTTCATTTTCTTGTAAGTAAGCACAGTTTGAAGTAGTTCATTATAATAATTTTATTATTCCATAACTATATTGAATAACATCACAACATGCATATACATATTCTCTATACTAAACATTTTTAAGACAGGTTATGACTTAACGTTGCTTTG